TTATATTTCCTTGATGTTTCCACTCGAATACAGACGCAAAAAAAGTAAAATTTCTTTTTAAGATATTTATTCATTTATATTTCAAATACTTTATTTTTTATTTTTTTATTATATTCATATTTATTTATTTGCTAAACGTTTTTAAAAATTCATGCATGCAACTCATTGTTTATGAATGCAAATCAATTGAACTTAGTGATAGAAAGATAGATGTACTAGCTACAAAGTAAAAATACTTTTTAGTTACTTATTTATATTTAAAATACTTTATATTTTTTATCACTTTAAATATTTGTTTATTTATTTATATTTATTAATTAAATGTTTGTTAGTACTTATGCATGTAGTTGTTTTCAAATCAATTAAAGTTAGAGATAGTAGATGTATATTTAAAGTTTATTAATGACTAAAAATGTGAAATGTACAACAATGAGAGGTATTATAAGAATGGTCATTACTCAAGATCGAAATGCTTCATTCGTTCAAGTATTTACATATTTCAATTTTATCTATTGACGGTTTTCACGGCGGCCATGTTGGAGGAACTTAACAAAAGAATTGTCAATGAATTCTTTTGTTATACCCTCCAACATGGCCGCCGTGTCTTTTGTTATATTCTCTTGGGAATGGTTGAAAACCATCAATATATTTATATTTAGGGAGTAGTCAACATATCGTACTTCGTGTAGCTGATGTTTGCTTCAAAACGCAATACGATATTTTACCCTTCTCATGGAAATATAACGAATTCTTTCTGTCTTAATTCAACTTACAGGTAAAATAGTTGTTTGTTGTTATCAAAGACTCCAGCAGGTAAAGTCTTGATACTATTATTAGAAAACACCCTGGGGAAAAAATCCTAAATGATTAGCAATACTTTAATCTAAATACAATAAGTTGAACACCGTGTATAATAAAAGGAAAACTTAAGATGGCTAATTACTTTTCCACATTCAATTTGAGCCCTCGATGTGCGCGCGCTCAAAAACCGCTGAATAATCTTCACGATTTTATTGAAGAACCATACACGTTTTGAACTTCAAGAGGGCAAAACCCTCAAATTTTGCACGGGACTCTATATTTTTTTGTTATTTTTCATAATAAAAACTAATTTCCCATTATTTTTCAAAGCTTAAGACAATTCTGTTTATTAGAATAATGTAAAACATCGTTCTGTTTTTTTTTGTGTGTGCTCATTTTTACGATAACTTGCACACCGTAGAACCTGAACAAAAAAATTTTTTTCCATTGTCTACAATAGTTAATTAAAACAACTTTTATTATTATTTTAATATAGTGTATGTTACGCGCTCGGAGAAAATTGGATGCAAATGAAATAAATGCCTATTCTCAAAGGAATGACACGTGATCTGAAATGGGCAAAAGAAACGCCTAAACTTAGAAATACATTATTAAGAAGGTTTCATAGTCCTGAGTAAATCCGGCGCTATTCATCTATTACACGATACCTCATCGCAGCCATGTTGGTACCATTTAACAAAAGATTTATCATTAGCATCCATTGTTAACGGCACCACAATGGCCGCCATGTTTTTGTCTTTTGACTCTCCTGGGAATGCTTGCAATTCATCAATAGGATTACAGTCACTTGCATTGATCAATCACGTGAATAAAAAAAACTTACAATTTTACAAGGTTTTTGTTGTTTTTAAAGATTCCATCAGGCAATGTCGTCAGCTTGTTAATAGGCCCAAGAGTTCTAAATATCAGAGCAAGAAACCAGTAATTTGTCAAAACGTTGCATCAATAAACTGACTGTCCCATACTAAAACGGTTCCACGTAATTGAAGTAAAATATATAACATATGACAAATAGAAGTAAATAAGCGAAATGTGTAAATGAGTTGTCGTACTTCTTCTTGACGTTCACTATTGGTTACTTGTGTGACAAAAACAAAACAAAAAACAAAAAAAACACCAAAATCAATTCAAGAAATTTTTAAGTCTTGATGAGATAAAACAATATATATATATTTGAAAAACTTTTGATACTTCAGCTCCCCAGCACATCAAAATTATTTTTTTACTTTCCTTTCTTTCTTATTTAAAATCTGTAAATTGTTCGTCTATATATTTAGAGTGCAAATAAAGATTATTATTATTATTGTTGTTGTTATTATTATTATTATTATTATTATTATTATTATTATTATTATTATTATTATTAATAAAACTTACATTACTCGGAGATAAGTATTGTGATCAAAGATTCCAGGAGGAAGGGACGTAAGCAAATTGTTATATAAATGTCTGGAATGATAAAACATATATTTGAAAAATTAGGCACATACTGCTTATTACATTGCGAATTGAAAAACGACAAGATAACGGAAAGATAACGATAACGCAACGCTTCTGATTGGTTAAGAAACATTCTTGAAATATTATTATATATCATTATATATTATATATACACCAAATTGAAAAAACGTTGTCGGGTTCAAAAAAAGGTTATATCATCAAAGCTAAGACCGAAGGGGAGCATGGGAAGACAAACAATTATGCTAATTTCATGTGTATTGCAGTTTTCCCTTCCTGTGCACATTTCGTGCATCATGGTTTTTCAATTAGGTGTATATTATATATATTTCTAACTATTATTATTTATAATAATAATTATTATTATTATAATTATAATAATGATGAATGACTTACATTTCAACAAGTAGTTTGTTGTTATCAAATATTCCAGCAGATAGCGATATCAGTTTATTGTTACTCAACGTCCTGTCCAAAAGTATTTTTTWAAATATTAGTATAGGAAATAGCACGATCTCGAGTACAATTCCGAATTTATAGGTACTAGTGATGTTTTCGAACGTTTTCAAAAATGGACGTGCCTTTRGACGAGTTCAATTTAGAACTTTCAAAACATCACGAGTACCTATAAATTCAGAATTGTACGAATAATGCACTCAAAAAAATTGAGAAACTTAATTGGGACTCTACAGAGTACAATTTAGGGTTTAATTGTTCTCCTCTTGTCCAATCAGAATTGAGTAATTTTGTAGAGTGTATTATAATACATCTAATAGCCCTTTGCAGTTAACGGTCACGTGTCTGTACTGGTGAGCAAAATTTTTTATTTTATTTTAAATTGGCGATTCTTTTTAGCTACTGGTAAAGAACTGAATGAAACGATGTGTAACCAGTGTGTTACGAAATGCAGTTTTATTACGATTACTTGAAACAGGTTGTAGAAAGTTTGTTTGCTCACCAGTGTATTTCACCTATGGGAATCAAGATGTTCATTCATTTGCTCTCAGTGAATTAATCAGCACGTGATTACTGAGCTGCAAAGGGCCTGTTATTGTATTATTGTTACTTCGGTGACAACAAAAGGAGATCAAAACCAGACACACCCTCAAAAGYTATTAATTAAATATAACAATTTTAATCGAACTTACAATACACGAAGATTGTTGTTGTGACCAAAGATTGCGGAAGGTAAGGACTTGAGTACATTGCTGTACAATTGTCTAGAATAAAATCACATACATTTGAAAAATAAGTGACATTCTGCTTATCGATACGTAAGGCCTGAATTTCACTTGCTATACAGTCATAGGTTAAGAATGTTGAATAATAACAAAAATAATGACATGTACACATGTACGAAAATACTCTAATTACTTTGCTTTCAACTTTTTGGGCTTCAATTTGATCTTAATCTTAATCTTTGTATTGAGCTTGAGCATTTATCGCACTTCAAGCTAGCAAAAAATATTTTTAGGTTGGGCGCATTTCCTAACACTTGTTATTTCTTTGTTTAAGGGTTCGGGATAAGACACATGAACGTGGATGGCCTAAAAAGGTATATGATATTAGGATATTCTTTATCCTGTTGAGTACGCCCTCAAAAACTACTTTGACGATACGGTACAGGGCCATCTTGAATTACAAGGTAGTGGTAGTGGTAATGGCAGTGGTAGTGGT